GAAGATGATGATCTTATATTACTTATACAAGATAATGAAAGCAGATTCTAAGATTTTAGGGGTAATGGATACATTAAAGAATTTCTTCTTAGTGTTGTGCACGAGTTGAATGCTTGCGAGAAATTTCCTTGGGGGCACTACTCATTTGATGAGTGTATAACAGGAGTGGAAAGGGTGGTCAGGACCATGAAAGGCTCTTTTAAACTAAAATTGGAACCATCACTATAAAAAGTTAAGTATCGGTAGCAGATCATTGTAACACGAACATGAAAGGCTCTATTAAGTATTAAATTTGTGCCGGAGAAGATATTCGTGAAGCCGGAACCCAAAAATCACTATTATAGCCCAATTTTTTGTTTTTCAGAATCCAAAGTTTTTTTTTAAAAAAATCTTCCTCTCTTCTATTGTCTCTCTACTTTTCAGCCCTAAAAAAAAATCCTTAATCTACAAACTGAATTTGCCGTCAAACACAAAGCTATTGCTTCTCCTTCTACCCAAATTCCTCTCTATCTCTCTCTATTCCCAAACCCTATGGCATATTTTCGATGTAATTGAGACAGCCTGGAGCAAGAAGAAGATGAACCCAACCTTCACGTAAAAGCTCCTTCCTTTTATCGATGAAAGGAACAACATGTGTTATGGATTCATGGGTTATGGTGGGAACGGATACATGGATTATTGCCAAAAATTGGAAAGGAACAACATGGGTTATGGTGGTGGAAGTAGTTCAGAAACCTAGCCGCCAAGTCAATCTATTATCGATGAAAACATGGATACTGTCGTACCCAAGACTCGCCCAAACGGGAATGACGAACCCATGGAAGCTGAACAACAACATCCTCTAGACACCATGAATTTGGAACAACTCTTGCGAGCTCCGGGACGAATTCATTTGAAGAGATTAGATCCTTCTCGAATAGATGGATCATATTGGCAATTTCATCATTACAATTTATTTATTACAGTTTATTTATAATTTATTTATAAATATTTATATATTTCAATTTAGTTATTACAATTTATTTATTTCATTGAATTATGAATTATGTTTATTTATTTATTTATAAGTTATGAATTATGTTTCCTTATAGTTTAATCGATTATTAGAATTTGATAGCAAATTTATGATGAGGTAGTGATATTAACATAAAAATTGTAAATTTTTTGTATAAGGTACTCTTACTCTCTTGGCTTGAAAAAGTCCATCAAACATATTATGGAGAGTGATTTTCCGGAACCCGCTCCTAATTTTTCTTCTGTCTCAAGAGAAACAAAGGATCGGTGGTACAAAGCGTTTGCGGTATGTTACTAATTTTATATTTCAATTTTAATTAAAAAATATTAATTTTAGATTAATAATTTAACTTACAAATTTTATAAATTTTATTTAAATTTAAAAATTATTAAAATGTTGTAGCAAAAATATTATTGGGCGTACGAGGTTAATACCGAAGTGGAGGAAAAATTTGATGAGATTTGTGCTAAGCGTTTCAAGGACAACACTTACGAGTGGAAAAAAGTGGCGAAAAGGGAAAGACAAAATAAAATTTATGTGAAGAGCAGTTTGGAATGGCTTGATCGAGTATTGGGAAAAAGAAAAAAATAAAGAGCATAGCGTAACAAACTCTAATAACCGAAAGAGCGACTGCGGAAGTTATGGTATGGCAAAACACACTTGTGGAGCTGTACCATATGTTCGTAAAAGAGAAAATATGGTATGTTACTTATCTTTTAAATTAAATATAAGTTTTTGTTATCTTTCATAAATTAATATTGTTCTTTTTTAAGCGTGATCCGGAGACGGGACTTCTCCACGATATGGTGATTTTCATGGAAGAGTCACACCGTCGCAAATCGGAAAGTAAAATTTCCTTACGGATATGCTTCAACCTACAAAATTGTGTTCACAACCAAGAAGGTTGTTTATGAGGGATGAAGAGTCATGATTGCCATGTGTTTATGCAACGCTTACTTCCATTTGCATTTCTCGTACTCCTCTCAAAAAATAAATATGAAGCTATCGCAATTATGAATAAATAATCGTATTCATTATCATTCTTTTTAAAAATAACCTAAACAATATATACTTATTCATCTCCATTCTTCTAAGTACAATATATTAACATATATAAATGTATTGTCCCATAATTACTTATAGGAAATAGTGCTTTCTTTCGAGACCTATGCGCAAGATCACTTACGGAAGATAGCATTAGGCGGTTATCGGACAACATACCCGTTCTTATATGCAACTTGGAGAAAATATTTCCACCGTCGTTCGTTGATGTAAAAGAGCATCTTCCTATTCATCTTCCTAGGGAGGCACAACTTGGGGGTCTGGTTCAATATCGGTGGATGTACCCATTCGAAAGATTTTATGGAGAAGAATTTAAGCAAAGTCGAAGGTTCTATTATCGCACAAAGCATCAATGAATTGGATCCAATTTTGCTGCCTATTATTTCCCCCGAAGTGTTCTAACAAAAAGCAGAAAACTATATGTTTTGATGGTGGAGGAGAAAAACCCCACTACATAACTTTCATTCTAGATATCTTCACACAAATCGGTCGGTTAAGTGGGAAACCAAGGTAACTGTGGCTTATAGAAGAAGAATTAAAACACTTGTATACCTATATTTTGCTTAATTGTGAGAACTTGTTAACATATGGAAGGTATATAAACTCGAATTCAAGATGTATTTTTTCTCAACAAGATGTATCATGAGCAATTACAAACAGCTTTGAAAGAACCCATCCTTTTTTTTAAACATGCAGACCGGATTAACCCAACTAATTTGTGAACCAGCTAAACCAGCCCTAAATCAATCCAAATCAATTAAGCCGCACCAAACATTACCAGCAGAAGACTTAAACGCAAGTCCATTATAATTATTTCATTCAAACCAACAAGTTCAACAAAACATTATTCCAGAATCATAAACACCTAACATGCTTCTAAATTCCGTTCTAACACCCTAACAAATCCAACAATAATCTAGAACACCAATGAGCGCCTATATCATCCTCCTCTCCTCGCCATGATTCCACGGATGACTATTTCACTTTACCTGCATCACTGACAAGAGATGCATAAGTATTTCATAAATACTTAGTGAGGCGATCATCCCACCACTAGCTATACACACAAGCACATTCAATCATTATTCAAGGAAAAGAACCAGACAACCAATAAAAGACAAACAAGAAAACGCTTATGACTATCGGTGTCGATCAACCCTCGCGGTCGACATCGAGCTCGACAATCCATTCGCGAGTCGTAGCTATCCTCGCGTAACAAAAATATTGGTGTCGAGCGACACCCTCCACTGGTGTCGAGCGACACCCTCCACTGGTGTCGATCGACACCGACGCTCTACAGTCGCTCCAGCTAACGTTTCTCGCTCGATCTCCCCTCCAAATCACCACCATGATATGAGCGATTCTCCAAGGGGTTCCACAGGCATCATTCATCATATAAACAGACAAACAAGCAAAGAAACCAATCAAAAAATCATCAAAACACCCAAAACAATGATCAAACATGCTTAGATAAGCTTTGGTCATACACTCACCTCTTAAACAAGAAAGAACAGCAACGAACAGGGGCTTGCAAGGGTGAAAACAATCTCCACAGACACCAAACACCACAAATCAACCTTTCTCTATCCTTGAACCACCAAGAGCAAGCTTTGATCCCTCCAAAAACCCACTCAAAGGCACCAAAAAGGATCAGACTCACTCTCTGTTCTCTCTCAAACTCACAAAGCGACAAAGTGAAGTTAAGAGAGAGACGCTTCAAAGCTTATAAAGTCGACCTAGGTTTTTTCCCCAAACCGAGCCTCAATTGAACCGACGATTTAAAACTTAAACCGTCGAACCAAAAATTACTAGTGTCGATTGACACCCATCCTTGGTGTCGATCGACACCACCCGAAATTCGAGACACGGGCGTTACAAGCTTACCCATATTACGATGCGAGACTCTTAACAGGATAAAACAAACTGAGTTTCTACCTTGGATGAAATTTTATGTGAGTAAATTTTTTGTAACTGTTGATTATCATATTACTTCCATTAACAATGTTAAATACAGGTGCAATCATGCAACGATAGAAGTGAGCGCGTATCCACTTGGTTAGAAGAGCTGGTAGATGGTCCAATGTCACTTGCACAAAGGTCACCAGCTTACTACACCCATGGCTATGCATTCAAGGTTTTTAAGGAGAGTGAAAATAGGAAAACCAATAACTGTGGTTTTAGTACGCAAGCCGGTGATATGATATATTACAGAGTTCTAAAGGAGGTTTTGGAGATACAGTTCCCTGGTGTTATTAATTTGAAATGCATAGCTTTTATGTGTGATTGTTACGATCCATCTTGCGGCGGGGAGTTCATGTTGACAAATTTGGAGTAACTGCAGTTAGAACATCAAGGAAACTTGATAGGTATGATCCTTTCATCCTAGCATCACAAGGAGACCAAGTGTGTTACATTCCATATCCTCGCGTTACCAAAAAAAAAAAGATTTGTGGTTACGGTTACACAAATAAGTCCTAGAGGGAGTGCATATGGAGTTTTAGAAACCGGTCCTTTACAACAGACATTTGTTGGGAACATACAATCTGTTGAACTTATCCATGATGAAACTTTCGACGGCCAATTAGAAGAAGAGACAATCATCGATGATATTTTGAATGTTTCTGAAGAAGAGATTGGAGAGTTTGAAGAAGATTTAGATTCAGCATCTTCCACACATTTACGATAAAATTATATGAACATTTTATTTGCAATAAATAAGTTTCTAACCTTCTAAACACAAATTAGATATTTACAATTTGTATATAATATGTTTATAAAGTAATAATTTGTATAATATTTATTAAAAAACAAATTTGCTTATAAACTACTAAACAGAAATAAATAATTATAATTTATTTATAATTTTTTTAAAAATTACAAATGTCAACCAAATTATTTATTGGGCCTATCACAAATATAAGGATTGTAAGAATAAAATCATATTGGGCCGTACGTAAAACTTTTTGGCCCTTGCAAAAGTATGTTGGGCCTTGTACAATTGTCTTGATCCAATAAGGAAAAAGATAAACCCTAAACACTCTAACCTTCTTTCTTCTCCTCTGCCATATGAAATTGTTGCGATTTCCTTTCTCCATCTTCTCACCTTCGCTTCTCCTTGCTTCTCTTCTCACCTCTAAGCTTCTGTTTGCCTCCATCAATCGACGCCAAGTGACGATCGAGTTCTTCTCAACTACCGCATCGCAGGTTCATCATCTTCTCACCTCTTATCACCCTCTTAGAGCAACTCCATCCAAGAGAACTTAGAATGAGTTCTCTTCAATATTTTTATTAATAATTTTGAAAATTTGTTTAATTTATGTCTCTCCAGTGGTTGAGTTCTCAAATTGGGGTTCTTTTAAAAAATTTTAAAGAAAAGATAGAGAGACTGAGAGAAATTGAGACAGAGAGTTTGATGAATGAAAAGAATCGTGTTTCCTCCCGTAAGATGTGAATGGTTGTTCAAGAAAAGATAGAGAAATTGAGAGAAATTGAGACAGAGAGTTTCGTTGGACACAGAGAGATTGAGAGGAGAGAGGAGAGAGGAGAGGAGATTGAGAGGAGAGAGAGAGAGAAATAGTGATTTCGTTGGACACTGAAAATAGTGTTTTTTTTTTCTTTTTTCATAAAATTTCAACCAATCACATACGAACGAGCACATCATCGGTTCTCTGAAGCTCTGTAAAATCTCAATACAGAGCCGGTTCTCTCATGATTAATGATTTTTGATTTTTCTTTTTGCTTTTTAATCTACAGATACTCATAAGAGAACCCCTGTTGGAGTTGGTATTAGTCTCCTCTTCTTCTTTTTATTTTGCATGCTTATAAGTTCTAACTTTTCTTCTCTTATTCTTTGTATGTAAATGCAAGCGGTTCCAAGTTTCCTCTACAATCTATCGCATTCATCACAGTAACGACCAACTCAAAGCAGCTTTCCAAATGTCAAACCGGAACCAATCGAGCCAAAGAATGAGAGAAGAGTTCTCTTGGACTCCTGTACCACCTCTCCATTTATCACTAAGTAACTATCAATCCAATGTTTTTGTACAAGTCATAAAAAGTATGGATTTTACTTAGGTTCAGAACTAATTATTGTTTTAGATTTTCCAAATTTATTCCATCGATTGTTTCTTCTATCCATGTATGTTTCTTCTATCCATGTATGTTCTCTCCATGTGTGTTCTGTCATATAAATGGGTGTTCTATCTATGTGTGTCTCTGGTTATTGTTCTATGTTTTGTTCGAGTTTACTTAGGTTGTGAACTGATTTTTTTTTGTGATTTTCCAAACTTATTGCATCGATTGTGTCTTCATTCCTTGTGTGTTCGGTCATATAAATGGGTGTTCTAGCCATGTCATATAAATGAGTGTTTGATAAATAATGATGAGCTGCTAGTCTTCGCTACTCCATGTCTTAGTGTCCTCATCTACTAATAACTATATTTATCATTTATCAAAGCAATCAGCCATGCGTTCAATATTATACTATGTACTCGATCCTTATGTTTCATTTGATTTTATATGCACCATTTAAGTATATTTTATCATCTGTGTGTTTTTATATGAATTTGAAAGAAGAACACGAAGAGTTAACAGTGTGTCTCGTTATTGTTATTTGTTTAGGTGGAAGTCATTAAAAGTGTCGATTTTACTTAGGTTCATAACTGAAATGTTTTCGAGATTTTCCAAAGTTATTGCATCGATTGTGTCATCTTTTAGGTCTTCTCTCTCCATGTGTGTTTTGTCATATAAATGGGTGTTCTATCCATGTGTGTCTCTGGTTATTATTCTATGTTTTGGTAGAAGTCATATAAGTTTAGATTTTACTTAGGTTCAGAACTGAAATTTTTTTCCATGTGTGGTTGGTCATCTAAATGGGTGTTCTATCTATGTGTGTCTCTAGTTCTTGTTATATGTTTTGGTAGAAGTCATAAAAGGTTTCGATTTTACTTAGGTTCACTTCTGATTTTTTTTCCTTATTTTTATTTGAACAAATTTGATTTTCCTTTTTATTCCATCGATTGTGTCTTCTATCCATGTCTCTTCTCTCCATGTGTGTTCTCTCATCTAAACGTGTGTCATCTCTGGTTATTTTTCTATGTTATTTCTCTCGTATGAGTCTCTTCTTATTGTTTGATTGTTTTTTCTGTCGCATGTGTGTCTCTCCTTATTGTTCCATTCTTATTTTTTCACATGTGTGTCAACTGTGTTCTATCCATTACAATATATTAGTAATCAATTTCTGTCACATGTGTGTCAAATCTGTCATTCTTCTAGATTAGATTTTATAAGTTTCCAATACATTATGTTTCACTCCTTCCTTAAATGACTTGTATGGTTGATTTCCAGCCGGGTAGCCGCCAAGAATTTCTACAAAACATTGCAGACCAGTAACGTGGATATGATTTTACTAGTCCTAGCTACTCCTTGGATGACTTACCGAGGGTTCAGCGACAAGCACGCTTTCAGCCCACAGCAAATAGGAGTGGAAGACTTGAATCTAATTCACCAGAGCCTACAAGCGAAGAATCTGTAGAGCCTATTTTAGTGGATGTGACTGACCTATTGCGAGCTCCTGGACGGTCTCACCTCCCAGTCCTATATCCAGACCGTGAAGGAATCCTGTCCATGAACCTTACGCTTGAAATATTTTATTGGCTGTTAACAAAAGTTTATTATAATTTGCTGCTCACATTACAGGTTTAGACGTGATCCAACAGGGAAGATTACAAAGCAGCTTCTAAAGATGCTTAAATCTGATCTCCCTGGTCTATATCCCATTTATCGTACTTTACCACTAGATGGTTTAGAGTTTTTGCGGTTAATAGCTTATTCATTTCCTTCATGTTTAAAGTCATTTAGAAAGATAAGTATGTAAGTACTAACTCATTGTTTATTGTACAACAAGAGTTCCACTGGGACGTGAGCATAAATGAGCATGTCCAGACATAATACATGAAGCAAGTAGAAAATTCTTTTAAATCCAACTTGCGTGAATGGAAGAAAACTTGGAAGAAGAAAGGTGCTGATGGTTTACCGGCATGGATGAAGGCGAGGAAACGTTTGTTTGATGGTTACATCAAGATGTGGACAGATTTGGAAATGGTCAACGAAGCTACCAAAAACAATAAGAACTGAGGCAGTCAAAGGGGTGGATTACGTGTTGCTAAACACAACAACGGTGCAAAAACATTTGAACAACGTTGGGATGAATTGGTTAGTCACTTCTGATTTTCTGGTTAATAACCTTACATCTCTTGAATATGGTTTTTCTACTTTTAACTTACAACTCTTGATTCTGGTTTTTACTTACACCTCTTGCATCTTGTTTTGACTTACAAACCTTGAATCTGATTTTTATTTACAACTCTTCAATCTGGTTTTTATATCCTGAACCCTTAAATCTGGTTTTTCTGGTTTATACTTACAGCTCTTAAATCCCAACTACTTTGCATACATGTTACTCACGTTTGTGTATAAAACATCCTACTTAACGTTTATGTTTCAAACGTATGCATGATAAGTAATTAGTAATTAGTAATATTTCTGTTTCAAACATCCTACTAAACGTATGCATGACCAACTCTCTACTCGTTTAGTTTTTAACATTTGGTTTCTAACTTGTGAACACTTGGCTTCCAAAAACGTTTAATATTTACTTGGTATTGTATGCATACAAGTAACTCTTCTAGTTTTTAACATTTGGTTTCTAACTCATGAAGCTGGTTAACGTTTTCGTTTTATGCATACTAGTCAACTAATATTTTTGTACTTTAACTATTTCAGTTAACAAGATTGACTAATGAATCTTTAATTGTTTTGTTTCTCATGTGTTAGAAAAGTGAGTTAGGAGGGGAGCCTAATTTCCTTCACTTTATGGAACAAACTCACTTAGATAAGAAGAGACGCACAATAAGTGACTTAAAGACAAAACAATTTATCGAGAAGGCTACAAGTGAGTTGAAGCTTCTCCAATCACAACGCCAAACCCGAAGGAGATGACTTGGTTCAGTCTAACCCTCTTGCACCAGAGGAGATTAACTCTTTTGTGCGTAAAGTAAGTATGAATTCTCTTCCTCCTTTTAAGCTTTGATTTGACAAACATTCAACAACGATGATGATTTTTTGTTTTACTTCACAAGTTGTTCCAAAGGTGAGAGGAAGACGCTATGGACTTGGTACTCTTTTGGATGAAGGATGCTCGTCTTCTCAGGTACTCCTCGCCACATTTTATAATCTCTGAGAATAGATTCAAACTTTGAAGGCACGTTGAAACTTAGTTTTTTATATCTTTTGGGAGTTCAATTACCCCAGTGCAATGCAGTGCAAAGGGCTAAATGGATCCAAATGGGGTGTGATGCAAACAAGACGGATGCGACAGAACTAACAAGTCAAGCCAAGTCTGATAAGGGGTTTATACTAACAAACCTAACAAGATGATACTAAGCAAGCAGTAATAAGAAACTAAAAGCAGAAACTAGATTACTAAAGACAAGCTAAGCATGCAAGAGCTACAGAAACATAATTAAAGCAGAAATGGAAAGCAAGTAAACAATTAGATGAACAAAGGTCTCAAGGATGGTGTTAATGGGTTAATAAATCCTATTAATCTCATTGGGGTTCTTAACATGGTCAAATAGATCTAATCCTAGACAAATAGACAATGAACCACTTAACCTAATCAGTCCAATCTCTTGGCAAAGATTATCAAATCTAAAGCACTTCCTAATCTCAACTCTCATTGATGAAACATGCAATAGATAGACATAAAGATCAAGCTCATTAATGTCAATCTACTCCTTAAACAACTAATCTCTTAGGTAAGCAAGTAGATCTCTGGCAAGTGGATCAGACATTTCATTAAACACTTTTTGGGTGATGTAATGTCTAAGATCTAATCCCACATGGTTAATGCAAAAACTAGCTATTAAATCTCCTAATCCATAGGGGATCTATTGAAATCTAAGCTTAAACACCCGTAGAGACTAAGATTTTTCACTAACCTATCCCATCCTCAAAACCTTAGAAAACTACTCAGATCTGGAGTTCATCATCAAGAACATAAACTCAGAAATCTCTAAATCATGCATAACTAGATAGGTAATAATCTAAGGAGCAAGATAATACAAAGAAGCAACAACAAAAGCTTAATAGACCAAAAGATATTAAGATTACAATTTTCTGGAAATGTTTGGTGGCTACAGAGATTAACCCTAATGAAACTCGATTCTTTCTTAATGACCCATTATAACGCCCTGAACCGTCCTACGAACGGACGAGCCGTGGACAACCCGAAAACGCCACTGATGACAGCCCGCCGGACGATCCGGCTGAAGTTTTCACAAAGGGATCAGGAATCCTCAGCTAGTCCGTCTGAAGGCGAACCGTCCCTCTGGGTATCCGACTCGGGCTTTGCAACTGTTGACAAAGTCCGAGAGTTGTGTTAGCCCGGACAAGGCTAATATCAGCATAAACCACACTCCTTTATATGAAAAATACTTCTTTATTATCATATAAGAAAAACTTGTTTGAAATCATCAACGACAACAAAAACGATAATGGGCCCATGAGTTTTAAAAGCTTTAAAACAAAAAAACATCAAAACTCAACTATATTTTGCAAAAGCAACAACTCTACACCGGGTTCCCTATGTCCCGAGCTCCCCTAATGATCCCCACTAAGGTTTCCTGCAAACAAATATGGAGTCATAATAATCTAAGATTACTTAGTGAGTTCGGACACCTGCAACACACGTTAGTTCAACCCAACCCCAAATAATATACAAGCAAGCGGAAGCTTTAAACAACAACAAGCAAACACGGTACTTCGACCGAGTAAAATATGATGAAGCATGAATATGCAAACTACCATCTAGACTCGATTTCCTAGGGCCCAGATATGCTGCCTTCCACCATTGCTACCATCGTGAACACCCGAGTCATAGCCACAAAGGCACATGACCGGAACATCACCCTTGCTACACCGTCGTGTAGACAACTTCGGCCAAGGTAGCTAGTCAGGTCTCTCCGAAGCTCATCGTGCTAGCGTGAGACTCCAGAAAATTTAAGTGAACAGGGAATCACGCTAGGACGGAACAGCCAACGAAGGACAGACATATCCCTAACTTAGTACAACGAGACATATGGTCAGCAAACGCATAGAATCAAGTACTAAGCTACACATCTAAGTACAGAACATATCTAGATGATCGAGTTCATGATTTGGTACTTCACCTACACATGCATAATGATGTCAAGATAATCTAGCAAGATATATCGAGAATCTACTATGCGTGCAACGAAAATATGCAAGCTATAAAGCAATCGAACATGCAAGCTAGTAAAATAAATATCCAAGCCCATTTCCCCTCATGTGCCATAACACATGCATCGAGACTCACGAAGATTCGGCAGAAGGCTGAGCTATACTTTACGATCTCGGACATTTGGCAGCTTCTCGGTCTTGATCTTCACTCGATCTTCAACTCCACTTGATCTTGCTTCTTGGTCTTCACTTCTTTCGATCAAATGGCCTCGGGTCTTCATGGTAAGTCTGAGATCTGAATCCTAGAAGTAGTAACTTGGATGAAAACTACTTCATGGATCAGATCGGAGGAAACTTCCCCGGCGGATCTTGGTTATCGGCAGTGGATCAGATCTGATTGGTTCTCGATCTGATCTCTCGGCAAGGATCGATCAGATCAGCTCCTCGATAGGAAATTTCAGCAGATCTGGACTCTCGGCAACTCACGGCAATGCTCTTGGTGGTATCTTCTTTTCTCGATCTTCAGCAAGCTTCTTCTCTTGATGGTTGATCAGATCTCTCGACAAAGGATCAATTGAAAATAGACTTTCTCGAGGAAAATAAAGTGTTGTGACTTTCAGCTAACTAACCCAAATGAAGGCTCAAGGGGTTGTATTTACAGCCTCCAGCTTCGGTCACTTTCATCTGCTTTGGAATTCGCCAAGTGTTGCTTCGGACTTGGCCAAACAAGGCTTCCTCTACCTGCCGGACACGTGGCAGACATGGAGCGAAAAGAGGGATTTTGTCCGATCGAATCCACAGAATCTTGCCCATATCTTCTTTTGCGATTTTTCTCACTTATTCTTGTCAGAAATTGACACGTGGCAATCTTGTCGGGTGTAAGATACACTGAACGGACAAGAGTTGGATTTTCTCGATCTTTTTGATACTTTCTCGATCACACTAAGCCTCTTCGAGTATTCTTCGATAAACTCCATAATTCTTCAAATAACTTTCTTGGAATCGTCGAGTCTTTGATCAACAATACCAGCAAAACCTTCGGATAGGCTTCAGAACATATCACAGTTGATACTCTTGATTCTCTCTCGGTCACGGCAAGGTCTTCTTCAACAATCTTCGATAATTCTTCGTTCTTTCAATAATCTGTCTCGATAGAACATCTTCTCTGGCATTTTAAACACTTTAGGTCGAGACACTTTCTTTGCTATCGGCTCCAATCTCCTTGTGTACGATAACGTACGTCTTCCGGCAGCACCATTATGAACATCTCTTGATAGATTAGCTTTTCTATCGATAACATATCGATAAATCATCCTCATTATCGGTTTTAGGACTTTCCATCGAAGAAAATCCTTAAGCTATCGATCAAATGCATCCTTGGTTCGATGACCCTTCATTGCTCCGGTGGCCATCGTACTTATCTTGATAAACTGCAAAATTATTCACAAGTCTCTCGATACAACTTTCTTAAATTATATCCTTCTTCTTCCTGAGTTCTTTCCGGCACCTTTCATCGATGATATTTGTTTCGGCAGCTACTTCATGGTGCGGGTCACTACACCCATGGTCTCTATTTATAGTGGGTTCTGAAAACCCTAGAATGCAAAAAGACAAAATACTAAGTCGGTTCAACGTGAGCTCGATTGGGTGCAATGCCTTAGTTGCAAATCTGGTCCTTCACTCCATCCGATTGGGTCAGATAGTGCCTTGGTCGGTCAGCTTCATTTGGTCGGCAGAGATGTTTTGGGCGTGCAGTCTTCGATCTGGATATATATACTTTTACTAAAACAGTGATAACTCTTGAACCACAACTCGGATTGGGTTCAAATCACCGGCAATGGAAAGAAAACTCAATTTCTAACAACGTTGGTGAATACCTCGGAAACTAAAACCCAACTTAAGATCTTCATTCGAATCGATCTTTGAGGGACTTATACCGCATCCGATCGAATGATTGTTTGACGTGGTCGAGTCGGTTGGTCGAGTGCCTTCTTTTTTCATTCTTGATGCTTACAATTCTCTTGTTTAGTCCCAGAAATGAAAACAACACCTTCCTTCTCTTTTAGAGCTCCAAAACACCTAATAATACTCGAAATTCACAAAATATGCAATGCTAATGCAAAAACAACCTAAGAGTGCAAAATGAAGGAAAAGAGACTATAATGCATATGAAACAAGACTCAAACTATGAAAAACATGCAGCAAAAGTATGCCTAAATTGGGTAAAATATGGAGTTATCACACGTGAAGTAGAGAAAGACGCTCAAATCAACTATCTCATAGAGTGCAACAAGCATCTCCTCGGACGGTTTCCTGATTTGCATCCAGCTACTTATACGAGGGATCCGAAATCACCTACGACTGCGGACAATCCGAGTTTGACTCTGACAGCCCCTGAAGATAACGACGATGAAACCCAAGAGTAATGATTTCTGGTACTTTTAAAAACTTGAACATTTTTATGATTTTTGGGAAAAAAGCTTAAAAATACTTCATCTATTTTTTATTTGGACGTTTAATACCTGATCTCTTTAGGTTGGAAGAATAATACTTAAAATAATAAAAACGTGTAATTTAATACCTAAAATATTTAATATTATCATTTCCCTACCTACGATTTCTCAACAAAAAATATATTCCAATTTTACCCCGATTCACTTCTGTTTATTATTGATGCATAAAAGACTATATTTTACTTTACTATTTTATTATAATATTTCTTTATATCTTTAATTAAAAATATATATTTCATACTTCAATATTCATTTTTAGATATGAAATATATAATTAAAAAAATATCTTTCGTTGGATCTCTTAAAAGTTTTGGATATAAATATAATACAATTTTTGGATATAAAATATATAATTCAAAATATATTTTTCATTGAATCTCTTAAAAAGTTTTAGATAAAAATAAAATATGAAATATACATATCATTTTTGGATATGAAATATATAAAGGGGAATTTCAAAAATACCCCTTTTCATATACCTCTTTTTAAAAATACCCCCTTTTCAAACTTTATCAAAAACCCCACTAAAAATATTGAAATTTATCCAAATATGTGTGTAAGCTTATAAATATATACACAAATTACCTTTATATGTGTATAAAACTTTATATACCTTTCATAAATAGCGTAAAAACAAATTATAAAAACCATATAAAAACCTTATAAAAACCGTATAAACCCTTTTAAAAACCTTATAAAACTTATAAAAACGATTTAAAACTATTTAAAACATTTTAAAATATTTGTATCGAATCTCCCAGTAGTAGTTATTATATAGAAGTACCTT